AACTCTACGTACAGAATTCGTTATACACTACTAGAAAATGTTTTTTTTTCGACGGAAAAATTCCGTCGAAAATGGTTAAAATTCTGTCGAAAATGATGTTTTCGACGAAAATGAAGCCGTCGAAAATATCTTCGTGGGTAACAATTTTTTCGACAGAATTACAGATTCCGTCGAAAAATTTTGACTAAAATTTTGACGAAATAATTTCTGTGGAAAGTTTCCACGGAAAAATAATTCCGTCGAAAATTTTCGACGGAAAATGAACGAAATTCCGTCAAAAAATCTTGTCTCAATTTTCGACTGAAAATAAATTCCGTCAAAAATTTTCGACGGAAATTGAAAAAAATTCCTTCGAAAAATCTTGTAATGATTTTCGAAGGAAAACAAATTCCGTCGAAAAATCTTGTAATGACTTTCGACGGAAAATAAATTCCGTCGAAATTTTTCGACGGAAAATGAATGAAATTCCGTCGAAAAATCTTGTAATGATTTTTCGACGGAAAACAAATTCCGTCGAAAAATCAGTCTCAATTTTTGACGAAATTGCTTTTTCATTTGTTTCTCTACAAAATTAATACCATTTTATGTTTCACACCTGATAAACAAATATAATGAAAGTAACATATCAAAATTATTGGATCTTACTATAATTTATGTGTACAAAAGTCCCTGCCATATACAAATCAAAAGAGACTTATATATATAAATGTCCAAGACATATACATAAACAAAAGTCCCTGTCATATACTAATCCAAAGAGTCTTATATGAATAAATGTCCAAGACATACTAATCAAAAGAGACATACATATACAAAAGTCTCTATCATATACTAATCAAAAGAGTGCTATATATATATATAAATGTCCAAGACATATGCTAATCAAAAGGGACATACATATACAAAAGTCCCTGTCATATACAAATAAAAACAGTCCTATATCTGTAAATGTCCAAGACATATACTAATGAAAAGGGACATACATCTACAAAAGTCCCTGTCATATACTAATCAAAAGTGTCATATATCTATAAATGTGCAAGACATATGCTAATCAAAAGGGACATACATATACAAAAGTCCCTATCATATACTAATCAAAAGAGTCTATGTACAATAGCCCACGTCATATACATCCAACAAAGATACAAAAGTCATGCTGGTGGATGACCTGCATGATCATAGTCATCACCTACGTCCTGAGACGGGGGCTGAGTCTCGTCGTCATCCTCAGTATCTAAATTGCCTCAGGAAGCCTTCGCAAAAGCTTCTCCATTTTGTCCATTCGCCTCTGCATCATAACCATGAGACTATCCTGTTGCTGAGCCTTTTTCTCCTGCTGTGCAGCCTTCTCTTGTTGTTGTGCATCCCTCTCTTGTTGTTGTGCAGCCCTCTCCTCTTGCTGTGCAACTGTACCCTGCAACTGCATATTCAATGTGTGCATCCTGTCATGCTCTTGCTGGGACACTCCAAGTGGTAGCCTATTGGAGAGTCGAGATTTCTTATATGCTCCTCCCAGTGTACCTAAACCGTATAACCGTCCTTTAAGGTTAACCCCACCAGATGCCTGCACGATCAAATCATTATCCGATGCAACACTGCTAGCATCCGTCGAAAACCTTCACAAAATCAATTTCTTTTCCATTTATTTTATTCATCCGTTTTCGACGGAATTAGTTTTCCGTCAAAAATCTTCGACGGAATACGTTTTCCGTCGAAAATCTTCACAAAATCGATTTCTTTTTCATTTATTTTATTCATCCGTTTTCGACGGAATTCGTTTTCCGTCGAAAACCTTCACAAAATCAATTTCTTTTCCATTTATTTTATTCATCCGTTTTCGACGGAATTCGTTTTCCGTCAAAAATCTTCGACGGAATTCCTTTTCCGTCAAAAATCTTCACAAAATCAATTTCTTTTTCATTTATTTTATTCATCCATTTTCGACGGAATTAGTTTTCCGTAGAAAACCTTCACAAAATCAATTTCTTTTCCATTTATTTTATTCATCCGTTTTCCGTCAAAAATCTTCGACGAAATTCATTTTCCATCGAAAATCTTCACAAAATCAATTTGATTTTTCATTTATTTTATTCATCTGTTTTCGACGGAATTAGTTTTCCGTCGAAAACCTTCACAAAATCAATTTCTTTTTCATTTATTTTATTCATCCGTTTTCGACGGAATTCGTTTTCCGTCAAAAATCTTCGACGGAATCCATTTTCCGTCGAAAACCTTCACAAAAAAATTTCTTTTCCTATTTATTTTATTAATCCGTTTTCTACGGAATTCATTTTCCGTCGAATATCTTTCGATGGAATCAATTTTCCGTCGAAAGATTTGGACGGAATCTGTTTTTCGTCAAAAAAATTCAAGGATAAATGAATTCTGTCGAAAATTCCGTCAGTAATTGTCACAGAATTTTTTTCCGTCGAAAATATTGACTTTTCTAGTAGTGATATATGTATATAGAATGTACACATTTAACCAAATGGTGGTAGCTCATTTGGCGCATGGGCGCTAAGCAGGTGGGGGTGAGAGCATGTGTTCGAATCTTCTCAGTACCACTTTTGGGAGGAGTTTAAAGCCTTAATCCTGTTTGAATCAGAGTTTAAACCCTGTCTTAAACAAATTTTTGGAGGCCATAGGATGTGTCTCTCTCTTCGAAAGGGAAATTAGTCTCATCCTTCATCCCTTAATATGCGATACCAAGGGATCCTTTAGCAATTCTCACTTATGCATCGATGTGTTTTCCTTATTATGCAAGGGACGGCTTTTAGGGTGTGTTTGGTACAGGAGAAATTTTTTGGTGACCGAGAATCATGATTAATGGGAATTCAGTAGAAATTGAGTTTACTTGGAATCTTACGAAAGATGTGTTTGGTTCGCCAAAATATTACCGGGAATACTGGGTAAAAATTACTGATTCCATATTTGGTTTAGAACGAAATATGACTTGAAATATGAGGTTATTTTACAAAAATAACCCCAAACTATTTTTACTTTTGTAATTGATAGATTGGGTCTAGATTTTTATGTGTATTGGGGTATTTTTGTCTCAAAATTTATTGTTGTGCTTTCCCTTTACTTGGTATTCTGATTGGTATTCCGAATTACCATATTATTTTTGGTAATCTGAATAGTGACTTTTCTTTATAAATCAAATTACCGGTAATCATTGGATATCCGGGAATCGTAACTTATTCCTTCTACCAAACGTGGTAATTACATTTACCAAAGAAGGATTACCGGTAATCCTCTCCAAAAACTTGAACCAAACACCCCCTTAAAGGTTTTGGAGGATTTCTTAGGATAAAGGGATGCCTAGGACTTTGCGAGGAGAACGTCCTCGCCAAAATATCCACATGAGGACATGCAATGCACCATAGGCTTTCTCAAGATGCAGTGCTAGGCATCCACAGGTGTTAAGCTTCCTTTTTAAAGGTGATGTCCTACACCAAGTGCGTCATGGAAGTTTGGCATCTTAAGACACCTTTGTATCTTTTTGTTTTCATCAAAATCTATGTAGAAATTAACGGTAAGCTAGCAATATAATTTTTACGTTCAGATTCTCTGCCATTTTAAAACAACTTCCGATCAGAATCTTGGTCTTCAAAAATATTTTATTTTATGATCAAATGTTAATAGTAAACTTGATATAAGATTTTTAACTATTAATCAGTTATAGGATATACAATTCTTTTTTTAGCTGCACCTTACCTGAATTCGGATTTTTAATATTTTTGTTTCTCCCCGTATATTGGTATATGTAATTTTTCCTTTGAAGCTATTTGAAAGAAAGTCATATGTCACAAACCTCACCGGAATAATAGGAGGACCATGAATGTAATAATGAAAGTGGGTGAGCTATTGTGTAATAGATGTATGTCAGGATTCTTTGATGGGTGAATTATCTTTAATTATGAGGGTGCTTTTAAAGATAGTAATATGAACCAAAACTCTTAGAAGAGTCACCAAGTGTATATCTCATGCACAACTGATAGATGGAGAATATGTAAGGATATGGTGGCTTTATATTTCAGTAGAGTAATAACTCATAAAAGTAACCAATCAAGATACCTTTTCAAGTGGTGGAGAAGGGTATACACATAGGTAAAATATATCCTCTAATGATAAGAAAGAGATGAGCCATAACCGTTTGCCCATTATGTGTATTGTGGTGAACTGTGCAGGGATGTGCGAGATTCTCTATTATGAGGTCTATTATTTCACTATAGGGTCGGGAGGCATGGAAATAACCCCCTAATTTAACTTTTAAGGGACAACCCATGGCATTGGGTTGTGAGGTCGGTCCATAATAGTGATAGATGGGTGTGTATTAATAAATCTTTGGACCAATTGGAGTAGCAAGAGAGTTGAGTAAGTGGAAATAAAAATGGTATCCGTTCGATTTTCACATGTCACCTTTGGAAGATATTTAAATATCTTCATCTATGACCCGCCCCACACTTTGTATTAGTCTCATAGCCGACTCAAAGAGTCGAAGCTTGTAGGAATCCCGCGGAAGAGCCAACTCACCTCAAAAAGGTAATTAGAGTTGGGTTAACTCCAAAAAAAATTAATAAATCTTTGATATTTGAAGGTACTTCTTTGTAAAGAAAATGGCCTAATTTCTTTTGCCGATCTGCTGCAAAATCTCTGCCACTTGCTACCGAGCGTGAGAGATATATATATATATATATATTATACAATGAATATTTAGTTAATACAGTCTATGAATTAATTAAACATGACCCTGAAATTGCGGAACAATTGCAAGTTTCAAGCTTATTTTTGTCATCAACTAATAAAGAAATATTTAACAGCTCTTAAATCAAGTAATTTTCATCATATCATTTCCACAAAAATCAAAAATAAGGATGAAAAAGGCGTGACTGATCATTATACTAATGATCATGAGGCCAGAATTAATTAATGTGTACAAATTTTATGTTTAACTACCTGTCATCTAAGATAAAATATATATATTTATATTTGAACTATCTAGTAAACAATTCCCCAGACTTTTCTTTTTCTTTCCATTCTATGAATCTGCATGGTGAAAACCTAACCTTGTATTCCGAAATGGTTTCAAGCTTAGGTGACCAAACCTGGTCCTTAGACTTCACAAGCTGTTCATAATGCTTTTGCAATTCAGGAGTGCTACAAAGGAAGCTGTTGTTGTTGCTGCTGCTGCAAGGTCCATTATTATTCTCTTTATCTCCACTTATGAGCCTAGTGATGAATTCTGGTGTGACCTTTATCAAGGTCCTTCCATTAGAACCCTTCAAGTATTGAAAAGGACACGCCCCAAACTTAACAGGGGACTTGTTAGGGCATGATCCAAAGGCAGATATTGAAGACACAGAGAGGTTGTCACATACGAAACGATCAATGGGTAGAACAAAATAGGTTTGGCCATGCATGAGTTCATCGTCAATGGATAAAGAAGGGATAGGTTGTCCAATGAAGAAAGAATCTGCATGACAAACCATCATTTCTGGGAACTCGAACATGATCTCACCGGCTATGTGCTTCCCCTTTAGGGTTCTTGCTGTGCCTTCCCAGAAGATGAGCTTCACGGATGATGATGATGATGATGATGACGATTTTGTGTTGAGTTGAAAGCATGGAGTCGTTACTGTATTTCCCATTTGAAAAGAGAGAGAGAGATTGGAGAGAAGAAGTGGCGTTGGTTAATTAGAGAATAGAAGATTATATATATGGAGATGATGGCGAGAGAGATTGACTTTTTAAATAAAACCGGTTTTTTCTTTTTTTGGGTTTGTTTGATGGGGTCGGTGTGGTCTGGTCAGCCATGACGGCTTTGAATATTTCGTTCTCTCTCTCTCGTGTTGTGTTGTGAGGGCACTTTTAGGACACACTCTTTGTGTCACGCTTGCGAAAACAACTCATACACCAACATCACAAGCTTAACCCTTGACTTTGTGCTTTCTACTGTTATATTCAAACCTAAAGTTGCTTACCTTTTTTAATTTCCTCCAATATAGTATAGGAGTAATTGGCATTTTACAATTTTTGGAATAAATTTAATAATATAATATATATCTTTAAAATATTATCAATATAAAATAATTTGAAAATTATTTATCAAAACTGATATAATTTAATCAAACGGCCGGCGTGTCACTGTGATCCAGTGATGAAATTGTGTGGTTAAATTATGTTAATTACTTTGCTTACCAAAAAAAAAAAATTATGTTACTTTGGTAAATTATTTTTTAATTATATTATTTTGATAATTTTTTTAAACTCTATTATGTTGATAAATGTGACCTTTTTGGGTGAACATCAATTCATATAGACATTTTTTGATCTAAAACCTAAAAGAAGTAAAAGACATTAAAACTAAATTTCACGGAGTGGCCCAATTGGTAAGCAAATTGTACCCAAAATAACAAAATATTATTGATATTAAAAGGCTTATAGTTAAATTCCTAGACGAAGGAATTAAAATGGTAAAAATCTTCGCGTTCCATGCCACACAAAAAAATAGTCTCATTTTCAGATACTGTCTTTTAAGGGTGGGAACACCCTTAAAATAAATAAAAAAACATTAAAAACATTTCATTTTCAGATAGTACTTTTTACTTTTAAATAATGTTAAAAACGCATTAACAAGTTTAACTAAAAAAATGTTGATCAATATTATAGAATTTAGTTAAAAGAATTGAAAATGTTAACACGAATAATTTTCGACCGCATTTTATGTTTAAGTCTTGCAAGTTTTTACCAATGAGCACAAAAGGTTCTACATTTATCAGAAAAGTGGTTTACAAGAATCAAACCTAAAATATCTACTTTATCTTCGCTACTTAAAACTCAAGTAACATGCAACATATTCATTTTGATATAGAAATTGAATAATTATCCAATTACTGAAGCTAGCTCCAGATTCGTTTTCATAGTCAAATGTTCATAAAATTAACCAGCATATTACTCTACCAATTGTATCAAGGCCATCCAAAACAGAACCCAATCAACATCATCCACATAGGCATCTAAGTTTGAATGCGTTGACAGCTTTATCTAATAGTTTGAGCTTTAAAAATACATTGATTTATTAAACTATCAGCCCAACTAATTCATTTAATATTCATCATAAAAAAAAAGAATATTTCAAAATGAGCAGGTACCTGCGTTCTTAACAACTAAAATTGGTTCCACGGATAAAGTCTATTTTAAGTGACTAAAAGCAGGCCAAAGCCACAAGTTCCCTTCGTCGTCATAGGTTGATATTAATCGAACCTGCGTTGTCGGTTTACGACTAAGCTTATACTTTCACGTGCCATTTTGCTACTTTTTTTTTTTTTTTTTTTTTTCTGGTAACGTAAAGTCAAATGGTGGGTTAATATGTGTATCATTTTTCATGTCTTCGATCGACAAAAAAGAAACAACTAAAAATAAGTTTCAAATCTTGATGGAAAAGAAAAATTACATTGTCTTATTAGATATATTAAATAAAATTAATCTGAAATCATTTAAAATTAATTACCAAATAATATAATTCAAATTCTATATCATGTTAAAACATTTTAAAAAAAAATTGGAGACACTCTAAATTAGAAAAAGCAATAATTATCTTTTCTGATAAAAAAAACAACTCTAAATTTAAGTATTGCTTTGATGCTCAATAAATATCTGTTCTAATATTTAAATTGAAGTCTTTTTCTAAAAAATAGTGTTCATAGGACACATTTTGAATTTATGTTTGAACTTTAATCTTTTTTTAAAAAATAAAATAAAATAATTATTATTGTTTGCTTATCACCGTACGAAATTCTTATTGGTGTTTGTCAGGCGAGTCCAAGGGAAGCCCATCGTAGGGTACCATCACCAACGAGCCAAGTTACTCCAAGTACACCAAGTGAGTTCGACACAACAACTCAACTCAAAACCTTAAGGCATTGGATTCATGGGTCCTTCGACTTATATATTTTTTCACTTAACCCATTACCAACAAATGTGGAACTCATCACACTTGAATATCTCAACAGTTTTCATATCTTTGATACATATACATAATTTAAACGAAATGAAAGATATATTTATTAACTTTGGTTTTGATATATACATTTTGAAAGATATCGAATTCGCACTATCATCGATTCATTCGGTAAAAAATACAAGTTTGATTCATTGATTTTGTTCGGTCCTAGATAGACTGTTAGTATTATCGTATAGGTACGCGTTCAGAGATATTTATGAAATATATATCGTACAGGCATATAGCCAATGTATCAATCACAGCGCACTAATAATAGGCATATATAGCCAAGGCATGAGGTGTGTGCACAGTGATAGGCAAGAGAGAAGGGAATTCAGAGTGTGTGAGAGGCTTGACCCTTTATTTATAAAAGGGTTTACCTGTAGGTGTAAAGTCCTGATAGGATTATGATTATTGGGGGATAAGATAAGTTGTTTCATCCTTGTTAGTTGCCCTCCAATTCGGTAGTTTGAGCGTTAATGCTACCGGGCTGTAATATTTTTCTTGCATCCCGGACACAACTAGGTTCATCCTTAATTGGCATATGCTTGGCGTTCTTGTGTTGCTCTGCATGCCTTCCTTTTCTTGAGGCTTGATCCTCTTTTTGTTTTGTGAAGTACACTAGTGAGTTTGTTTCTGACCTTTTTTTTTACTTGGCCATTTCAATTTCAATTTCTATAATACTTTTCTGATGTGTCTTGCCGTTCTTTTTGATAGAGTTGCTTAAGCTTAGCTTCTTTGGCGGAGGCTTAAGTTAATGGAGGCTTCTTTTCTTAACCCGACTTCGCATGTCGTAGCTTTCAAAATTTGGACTTCTTTTCCAGTCATAAGTTTATTGAGATAGTTCTCCGCCTCTTTTTGTTTGAACTCGGCTTCTTCGCCATGGTTTTATTGGAATTGACCCAGATTGAGTCATTTTGTGTTATCGATCATAGGCTGGGTTGCATCACCACAACTTTAGAATTATTGTCTTGGCTTTTTGCTTGTCTTATTGATTATAGACCGGCTTGGATTGTCGTGGCTTTATTTATTACGACCTGATCAGAGTCGTTTAACCCGGGGAAGCGAAGTTCGCCTTTTTATTTGAGCCGTACTTCTTTCGCAGTGGCTTTATTACTTGAGACTGACTTATTTTGAAATGGCCTTTTTATCCGAACCTGGCTTCTTTTGTCATGGCTTTTATTTTGACTTGGTTTAATCTACCTTAGTTTTGAGTTTGTGGGGAAATTTTTGCCTCTTCGCTTGAGCCCGACATTTCTCACCTCGGCTATTCTTTGTACCTTTACAAAGGCACTTTCGGTGTTTGGATTTGTAGTCCGAAACCTGGGTTATTTTAATGTCGGACACCGAATATACTGCTCAAGTATTTCTCCCTCGACCTTTTTACCCGGGATCCTGCATTTATCGAGGCGAGCTTTACCTCTTTAAATGTGAGCTTGACTTCTTCTGCCGTGGCTTTGTAATTTTGGCCCCATTTCTTTTGCAGCGGCTTTATCATATTGACTTCCCTTCTGAAGTCTTTCATTCTGACTTGGCATCTTTCGTCGAAGTCTTATGATTATGGAGCCAAAGTTCGCCTCTTTGAATTGCAATGTAGCTTCTTCTGAGTTGTTGACTGAAGTTTGTCTATTATTTTCCTCTCGTCAGGTATGAGAGCCTACTGGGATCACCTTTAAATATTTTAGATCTTCTATGAGTCTGGTAGGTCGCTCTGGCTAGGACCATGAGTAGTCACTCTGGCCATGACCGTGTAACGGGAATCCCTCAAACTACTCTGTGCCTTGATGGCAAGCTTTGTCGCTAGGATATAGGCAAGCTCTCTTTGGGGGATCTCAAACTTGGAGTCCTTTGCCGGGCTCAGTTGAAGCTCAAGGCTGAACCCGAACTAATAATCATGAAACCTTTGGCTGGGATGAGTTGAAGCTCAAGATTGCGGCCGAGCTAATAATCATGAAGCCATTAACAGGGCCCTTGGCTAGATTGAGTTAAAGCTCAAGGCTGAGGGTGAGCTAATAATCATGTAGCCCTTAGCTGGGCTGAGTTTAAGCTTGAGGCTAAGGCCAAGCTAATAATCATGAAGTCGTTAGTTGGGCTGATAATCTTGAAGCCCTTGGCTGGGCTGAGTTGAATCTCAAGGCTGGGCCGAGCTAATACTTATGAAACATTTAGCTGGGCTGAGTTAAAACTCGATGTCGAGGTAATAATCATGAAGCCCTTGGCTGGGCTGAGTTGAAGCTTAAGGCTGAGCCCGAACTAATAATCATGAAGCCCTTAGCTGGGCTAATAATCTTGAAACTTGTGTCTGGTCTGAGTTAAAGCTTAAGGCTGAGGCCGAGCTAATAATCATGAAACCCTTAGCTGGACTGATAATCTTGAAGCCCTTGGCTGGGCTAAGTTGAAGTTCAAGGCTTAGGCCGAGCTAATAATCATGAAGCCCTTGGCTGGGCTGAATTCAAGGCTGAGGCCGAGGCATAGCAATTAAACTTGAAGCCCTTGGCTGGGCTGAGCTCAAGGCCGAGGCCGAGCTAATAATCATCAAGCTCATAGCGGGGTTGAGTTGAAGCTCAAAGCTGAGGCCAAGCTAATAATCATGAAGCCCTTAGCTGGGATGAGTTGAAGCTCAAGACCGAACTGATAAACTTGGAT